AGTCAATATAATTATATGCACACGGAAATTTTGGCCGTTCGCCCGTGAGCGTAAAAACATCGATTCGATCGATATACATAAATATATTTTCACCGGGCAAAAACCGTATCCTGGATATTCTTAATTGGCGGCGATAGTTTTGGCGCTAAAAAAAGACAGAGAAATGCTCCCGGGGATGTACTCGTAGTGGTGTATCACATAATGATGTTATACTACGTTCCGTTACTCGAAATGTGCATTGTTTAAAACAATATCTTTACGAAAGTATATACTTGATTATAGCGTAAACCCATAGGCACGATACTAGGCTTATACTATTTATTATTTTTTATTTTTTTTTTGACAGACACCTATCACTGTTATTTTCGATTATATTTTTCCCACAAAACCGATATCCAAAAAAACATCTAAATATTACATATTATAGGTATGGCCTACCTTTAAAGATTTAATCATGCTCGATCACGAGACTATACTAGTTTGTTTTTATTTTTTATTCGTGTATTAAATTACTCTTACTTAATTTTAATACGAAAAAATAGCTTATAAAACTACGTAAAGTTTAATATTTGCAATTTGCATAGTTATTTGTGTGTTCTAAAATTTATTTTAACATTTAAATTTCTATTTGAGTCGTAAGAATATTTTATAACATAAAATTACCAAAGCATAATAATATCGTATAGGTACTTGTTTTAATTTAATCAAAATAAATATACAACTTAAATTGTTACGATTGACATACAGGAGTTATAATCAAAAATATTATATTTACTACACATTCATTAATTACTAATTTGAAACATTCTTGTAGAATTTTAATTGTTTGTTTACATTTTAATAATTTAAAACAGGTGTAAACGTATTTCATTCCATTCAATAAACTAAATGCCCAAGAAATAATAATGTCAATTAAGCATTAAGAACTATAATATAATATCTTAGAATCAGTATAAATCTTATAGTTCTTATAATTTTTATAAGATTACGTTCTTATCGAATAATTGATACAAAATAATAATAATTGCCATTTATTTCATTTTAGTAACTAATCTAGCTATAATATTTTATAATTATTATTTCTCAAATATGTATTAAATGTAAATGTTTTTATATAAATCTATTTATATATATTTCAAGCAACATTAAAAAGCAAACGGATTGGTTTTTTTTATGTTTAGCTATTATAATCAAATTGGAAATAAGATTTTAAAGACAAAATCATAATAAAAGTACGGGCAGATGCTAAAGTATATAAGACCTTGATTATTTTATAATATGCGAGTATAGAATTCGTTGCGAGACAGCTTTCGTTGCATATATCAAAATGTTTACTTTGAATATTTAGTTCAGAGATATAAATATTTCCAATGCATAAAGCTTTTCATACAAAATAATAATTATTTCAATGACAAAATATGTCACTTAATTATCTCTTTGTAACAAAATACTTTTTAAGAAATAAAGTCTTATTTTAAATGTTATGACTATTTATCTATTGATATATTAATAACATTATATCTCAATTTTTATAATCATAATCATAAGAAACCGAAAAACCCATGTTATAAAAACACTTTAGGTAGGTACAATATTTTTGGTTTTTTTTTTAAATTGTAATTTATTTTTTTAACTATTTTATCTTTTATGTAACAATATTACTAAAGACATTATTACCTACTCACGTGTTAGGATTAGAAATGTCGTCGTTGACATTATATAATATATAAATGTAAATAAAAATTACAATTATTGTATTAAAATATTATTAATTTAGTATTTACATTCAACAATTTAACATTAAAGTTTTCTTTTAATTAAAATAAATACCTATAATATTAGTATGGTTTTTTTTTTATATAACATTAATTATTATATTATAATAATTATAAAAATAAAATACATTGAAAATAATTTACAAATAAAACACACGTCATTATTTATAAGCAATACAAGTACTTAGCTTAATTAAAAAAATTCATAAAATAGTTAAAGCAAACATTGTTATTTAAAAAAATATTGTTATTTGCTCATGACATTATCCCATATAATATATATATTTTAGTAAATAAAAAATGAATGTTTTTATTTCGCAAATATTAATTTTGTATTATTCATATTTATTTAAGTAGATACTCAATAAGACCATTAGATCTTACGAATTTATATGTAGTATTTACTTTTTATGAGCCAATGTTTATATTACACAGTTTCATGGATTTTGGGAATAGAAATAATTACTACACAGACGAGAAAAATTGCTAGTCACAAAAATATTAAATAATAAATGAGAATTATTTCGATTATTCAATTATTTGATAATACTGCAATACAACATTACTCAGTAAAAAAAAAAAAAATAATAAAATGAATGCATTGTATCTCGGCGGAACGACAAAAAAAAAAAATAAATAAACAACATGCCTATTATATAGTCGCACCAATATACCAGACAAATGAATACTTTAAATACTAATGAATTTCTAGACTAAAAATTCGAAGGTACACAATGAACATACATACCCAATTTGTCAAACTTTTTTCTTTTTTTTTTTTTTCATGTAAAAAAACGCATTCAGTAAATAGTATTCTGTAATCTAATATTATAATTTTTATTTTCAAACAAAGTGTACGCGTAGTTACTATGTTTGTTGATTAAAAAAAAAAAAAAATCATCATAAATATAATAATATACCATATTAGATATATTTTAGTATATATAATAATATTTTTTGTTTGCTTATAGATTTTAGAATAAATAGATTAAGGTGAGTTAAAATAATTTAAAATAAGTAAGAGAAGCAACAAATAATACTAAAAAATAAAAAATAAATATTAAATGTGAGTTGAAAAATTATATTTTAAAATAGTTTTTACAATTTATTTAAAATATAGTTTAAAATAGAACAATAGATTAAGTAATAAGATTAATTTTTTATATAATTAGTGGAAATATGAATTTTTTCAATTACATGATTTTTATGTATGTGTAAATGCTAAATAAATTACTGATATAAAACAGTTTAAATTATTTTCGTTTTATTAAATTGTTCTGAAGTTAAATTATAATTCTTATAGATTTTTAAAACTTTCAAAAATAGATTCATGTATACATAGGAAAGAAATTTCCACATTCGAATGGAGCATTAAAGTCTCCCAACTAAAATTAAAATACGTTAAATGGTTTGAGCGGAACAGTTTAAAAATGTAATTTGATGAGTGGAATGTCGGTATATAACGTTCTTCGGTTTTTTTCGTTTAAACTTAACAACTCACACGTGCAATGCAACATTATTATTACGATGTTGTTAAATTTATTAACAAAATTATATGTTATTGTGAAAAAAATATATTTATTTTTAGGAAGACTTCATAATATTTTTAATAGTTTATTAAAAAAATAAGTACCATTATCTTATTAATATTTTTTATCATAATGAGTAATTTTTAATGTTCATTAATAGTTCATATTGTATATACATAAATATATATATTTTATCTTTGTATCATTATATTATTTTAAGACACGTGTGTATTTGGGTAAAACGATCTTTTTTGAATGCCTTATAGTTGAATGGAAGATAAACCGTAATCAAACGAAAAAACTAGATAACTATTATTAATATCAATGTTATCGATACACACACAAAAATTGCGTGGGAAACATACATTTATTATATAATATTATAATATATTTCTTGTATATAGTATATATTATAATTTATCTTCATAGTGAATTAAATAGCATGTGCTCCGATTTTGACGGTTTCCATAAATACAGTTTATAATATAATATATTATTATATACACAAAAATATGTATAATAATATGATAATCTACATGTCTATTCATTTCTTATAATCCTATTGAAAACTGAAAGTATTTATATAAAAATTTCCATTTTACGTCTTACAGAAAATAAATACGTAAAAATATAAAACAATAATTACTCGACAACAATCATAAAAGTAATAATTCGTTTCAAGTATTTTTTGATTTGAGATTAAATCTTTAGAGAGAAACCATCGTTTTTGGTACTAAATACCATGATGGGTTTCATGGAATATTCGATGGCACAATTAACATAACAAGTTTCATTTTAGAAATAATATAGTATTTTTAAAAAAAGTTGAAAAATAAATTTTGATAATTAAGCAAACGAATAAACAAATTGTTATAAGTTTTTTTTTAACGAATCATAATCATTTTCTATTGTTATTGTTTTTAATAATATTTATTAATTTACTAATACGTGTTTAAATTGCGTTATTTTAATTATAAAATTATTATTTTTTAAGCCTACAGTTGTGGCTTTTATAATTTTTATAGCAACAATTATTTTAAATAGAATAACAATAATATTTAAAATACAAATAAATACGCTTTAGTAGTATTTTAAATGAAAAAAAACTTTATAATACGATTAAAAAATTTCTTGACGAAGTTTTATAGCTCTGATTGATTCGACCATCGTTTAATTTATTAACCATAAATATATAGACTTAAGTAAAATATCTTGCAATAACTAGGAAATAAAAATACGTCGAAAATGTAACAAAAACCTAATCACTTAGAAAACACACATAATATATACCATTACTTCATTATTATATTGTACAAAACGACGAGACTCGCGAACGTATTATGATATTACTTAGACCCACTACACAAGACGGAAAATTCTTACTTTTTTTTTTTTTTAACAAAATAAATATAAAAAGTCTAACGAACAAAAATATTTTTTTTATTAAACATAAAAAAAAGTGCGAAAAATCTTAACCGATAATATACCATATTAAGTACTAAATATATTACACAAATATCATTTTATGTGATAAAAACGGAAAAAAATCGCATAGATATTATTAATAACAGAACACGTCGCGTGGTCGTATTGTTGTACCCAAAGGGCAGCAGCACAGAGGCAATAATAAAAAATAACAATAATAATCAATAATAATAATAAATTTAAAAAAAAAAAAATCAAAACTGTTCCTTACTTCTCGTGTCTGAGCACGTCCATTTAGAAGGCGCGTCGGATTGCGATCGCGGCGTCTGCCTGACAACAAGTGCGCAGAGACACGCGTGCGTTTTTACCTGAGCGATATGCGACGACGTTATCGCGCGTACGCAATACTATATCGTGTGATGTGTCGTCGTGTTGTGGGCACCACACGCATAAGACGCATACGTTCAACGTCGCCGGCGTGCGCATACGACGTGTGCACGGACCGCGGCGGACAACAGACGAGTAGTGTGTCGGCGAGACGGTGCGCTATATGCACCGCGTTTTATCCTCCGTGTGCGCGCGCGCGCGTGTTGTTGTGTGTGCGTGTGTGTTGGCGGGTCGTCGTCGTCGTCACTGACTCGCGGCGAAAAAGCGACTGAATTTTCTGTCGGGGGGTCCCGGGACGGCGGCCCGGGATGCTGCGGGTGCTTCGCGCGCTGGCCGACGCCGCCTCCGGTGGTGGTGCCGGAGGATCACCGCTCTTCTGCCGCCGCCGCCGCCGAAGGAGAGGAGCGCACGACGGAGCGAGCGAGACGGAAACGGAGCGACCTGCTCACACGCACAAACGTGGCCGCCCCGGCGGCGCGGCGTGCACCACGCGCGCACACACGCACCCGAATCGCGCTCCTATTAATACACACGCGGTGTGTGTGTGTGTGTGTGTTTGTTTGTGTGTTTGTGTGTGTGTTTGTTTGTGTGTTTGTGTGTAGGTATGTTTGTGTGTGTGTGCGTATTTGTGTGTTTGTGTGTTTGCGCTGCGTGCGCGTAGAATATATTATAATATTATAATATCGTGTGCGCGTACATGATATAATAATATTATTATTATTATTATTATTATTATAAATAGTGGGTCTTTGCCCCGCCCGCGGTATTATTATGATACGTGTCCGAATGTATTAATTAAATCCGGGTAGCCGACACACGTGGTTCGGCGTCTATAGTCGGACGGGGTGGTAAACGATGAATTCGGGACCGAAATAAATAAAACGATACATATTACACCGTTGCGGTATAGTTGCGCGTTCACCGAGTATGCTCGTCTCCGTTTTTCCTCCGACGTGGAACGAGCTCGTACGGATTTCGACGGTTGGAATTTTCAAGTATACCCCCGTCACAACAAACACGCCATACCTTCGAACTGTCGAGGGCGTTTTCCGGCTGAATAAAAAAAAACTGTCCTGCACTGCTGAGGAACGAATTCCGGATTTCCGAACGAGCATCTCCCTCCCCGGGAATACTGTACATTGTTTGGTGGACGATTATTCAGAAAATTCTGATTCGCCTTCTTTGTTTTATTTAGTTTTTTTTTTTTTTTTTTTAGTATTTTTATTTATCAAAACATATTTACAGTGTGTTTATTATTTTTTAATAATAACCAAGTGTCTATATGTTACAAGGTAACATCATTTTATAGCGTATCTATGAATAGTTTTTGAAGGAAATTCTTCACTAACAATACCTTAAAGTGTTTATTTATTTAACTACCTATCGATGATTCGAAATCTAAACGAGTAGGTGGTTAGGTTAGGTTATTAAAATGTTTATGCCAAGGATGATAATCCTTGAAAATGGCTGTAAAATACATGTAGTACTGTATCCAATGTTTATTATATTTAAACCATTTAAAAAAATATATAAATGTAGATAGATAAATATTAATTACTAAAATGTTCAAATCACCATAATCTTTCAAACCCATTATCATGATTCTATTATCCTTGGTAAATAACTCAAAAGTTACTCAAATTCTGATTTTAATATGTCTACATTTGTCCGAAAAAGTATCTACTAAATAATTATTAACAATAGTAAAGGGGGGCTCTCGTTTGAAAAAAAAAAAAAAAAACAGAAGTTTTTAATTAATATAGGACACTTGTAGTAGTAAAAAAAAATATCGATAATTTGAAAATATACTCTTAAGATATATTCCAAAATTAGATTTTGAATAACTATAATATATTAAATAAAAAAGGGGGATGAGCATGGTTGGTGTATCATTCTGTTTAATATAAATGTTGTGTTGTATGGTAAATAAAATATTTGCCAGCGTTGAACATTCCGTGGCAATTCCGAGAATCTCTCACTCACCATATGTATTATATTATATAATGGTTTGGTGCGTACTGCGTGTTACCTGATGTATCGTTATGGTTATATTATATGGAATTGCCTACTGCAAGACATCGAAACTGTACAATTATTTAAGGCTGTATTTTGTAGGTATTGCCGAGATGCAAGTGGTGCACAAACAAGTCTAAAATTTTAAGTTAAGTAAATTTTAACATTTTTCTATTTAATTATAAACTTAATAGGAATTAGTTCAATAAAATATGAGTTAGTTTCAATCAAATCCAAGTTATGTTTATTTAAAAATAATTGAATAGCACATAATAAAAAAAATTGATAATTGATTATAGGTACATCACAAAGTATAGTAGGAAATAAAAATGTAATTCTTAAATTTACTCATTGTTGCCGTTAGCCAGGATTGTTGAATAGAAATATAACTTATTAAAATACATTTATTTTTATCTGTTTATTGGTTGTTTTTGTATTTGAAACAAACTAACTAAACTCAACTGATTTAAAACATATCAATAACTTGATCGTCTTGACCAGCCATAAAGATCAAATACCATCGCATAAATCTCTATAGCCGTTGTCAGATTCGTATTTTTCTGTACAGTAAATGGTTGATTGATGATAACATTGTCCAGTTTTAAAAAATGTATGTTATTAGTATCTACTAGAACACAATTGTTTCAACACGATATATTTGGTTGTTTTTTTTAATATTGTTTATTAAAAGTTGAACTCTCGTAAGTGGTAAAAGATAGTTTGAATATTAGTAAATCATGTTACACACATTTTAACTGAAATAATCAGTTCCAATTACTTGCATTCAATGAAAATGTACATTTTTAATTTAGAAACAAAATTAAAAGCATTTTTTTTTACTTAATTATTTGACTTAGACTTTTGATTACCTCGAAAAATTAAGTTAACGGATGTTTCATAAACGAAAAATATTAAAATAAAATAAAATTTCCTGAAAAAATATGTTTCATAAACAACAGATCTTATAAAATGAATTTACGAAGTTTTGTTCTTGCCGTTAATCTTTGTTAAAAATTTGAGTTCATAGACATTTCGTTTCCAGAAAATATTAAAATAAGATACTTGGTTCATGGCATTTAACTCAATATTTTTATTAATTTCTTAAAAACAATAATCATTTAAAGTTAAGATTAATTCAATATAAAAATGTATATAAAGTTTTTAAATTATTTGTTTTGTGGAAATGGCTGTAACACAAATCGTATATTTACAAATAGTTCAAAGTTAAATGAAACTCGCGTTTCACAAATTTACACTTAATTGTATGACAACTCATTCATAACAATTTAAAAATATTTATCATAATAAATCATGTACAGAGTATTAAATATTTAAATTGTATCTATTCCTTTTTAAAATTAAAAAATATTGTTATTTGCACATTTATTATTCCATTTTATTTTTAGTATCATCATAAAATAATGAACTAACATCAAATTGATTTCCAAACATTATATTATTTTCTTAATATTATTAAATATTACTAAAGAAATTAATTTAAAAATAATGATTTAAAAAACTAGGAGATGAACATTCTATAGTAAACGTCCTGTGTAGCTTTAATATTTTACCTATTGTTTACGATATAAAGTTAAACATTTTTTTTATTTTTTTTTATCTTTTAACCTTGCTGAAAGAAATTAGCCACAATTGCAGTTAAATACTTGGGATTTTTGCCAGAAACTTTAAATATAAGCGTTAATCCAGTATATACAAGTATTGATGTTGGTTACTTAACATTTTGGTAGGTATCTACCAAAAGTCAGCTGGAGGTTTTTAGTAATAAATTAATACAAATGTATAGTTGTCGGTAAACAAATATGCCTCATAGTTATATGTTTCTATTGCGTATTAAATTAAATTAAATTGTTACCAGAAATAAACACTAAACAACAAGTACTGTTAAGTCTGTACTAATAATATTTATTGTAATATAAACAAGCTATTCGTTGTTGGTATTATATTAATTAAGTAGTAAATTTTTTGTTCATTTAATTTCCACGTAATTTTTTAATATGTCAACATTATATATCACATAAAACATTACGTATTTATTAAATAAGTATTAGATTCATAGGCGAAATTAGAATTTTTTTATTAGATTGAGCTATGTTTTCTGACCAATTTAGACACGTATTTAATATAAATTTATGTATTTGTATATAGTTTTGTAAATTTGTTTTAAATATCAATGATTAAAATTCAATCAAAAAAATATATTACTTTGTTTAATGTGAAATAATTAATATATTATAATACTATATAAATCAAGAGAATATTTTAAAAGATCAAAGAAGCAAAATCGATGACAATATATTATTAAAAAAAAAAAAAACACTATTATATTTAATAATATAAATTATATTATATTATATTTAATTATTTTTTTATTTTTTTTTTTTTATTTCTAAAAATAAATAAAATATTTAGAATATCAGATACTTCTGATAATAATTTCAGCTAAATTATGATTGTTGTTTTGTTAAAAATTTATTCATGTTATTTATTTTGAATATTTTTACTTATTTTTAAATATATTTTTTTGTTTAATATGTGATATTATTATGAATTATTATTTATTATTATTTATTATACAATACAATGCCCATTTAATATATTACTTATACTATACATATTAATACGGGTTGTGATTTGCATGGGCTAAGGCTCAGTTGTCCCAGGCCGTAGTTTCATCAAATTATAAAATGTATAATGTATTGACATAATATACGTTTGTTTATCACTAGGGTCTGGAAGTTATAGGAGATAAAAAACGCAAAATATGAATGCAAATATATGAATTATGTAAACAAATTTAATAAATAAACAAAATATTATTCAAAAACATATAAAAATTACGTAATTCTTATTAAAATAGATAAAAGATAAAAGTAATTCACTAATAAGAAAGGGGATATATTACTGTAATAATGTTTATTGAAATTTAATCGAATTCACGAAGAATTAAAAATAATTGATGACAATTCGAGTAAAAATAGTAGGAATTTCATTAACAAGTGAATTGTACCTATAATGGTATTTGTAGGTTAGGTTAACATTAAAAACATAAAAAAAAAATGTATGGATTAGTGGTTATTAAATGTGAAATTGAATTACGAAATAAATATTTTAACGAGAAACAATCTAGGAGCTTGATAATTAAAATTTATATTTATAGGTTTGATGTGTTGTAGTCAATATTTAATAATTAGCTCATATTTCTAATGAAAAAATAAAATGTAGAAGTTTCTTAGTATT